GTGTAAAAGACAAACAAAACAGCGTTATCCACACCCAAGCGCTCGTGCTTCGAACATCAGGACTGCAAAAACACCCTTATTTAGTTGAATTATGGATTGATCTTGATAAAGAATACGGCTTTTGGTTGGTTAAAGACCGGTCGCAAGAGTGTGAGTGCAAAGCTAGTCAGTCCGAGAAATGTAAACAACTTGTCAAGGTTAGTTCCCTTTGTATGTGTTGTGCTGTGTTTGCAAATTAAATATTTATGATGACTTGAGTAATGTAGGAATAGTCATTGCTCAATAACTTAATCGTGTTTTCTATTTTTCAGAACTGATGAAGCAGAACTGGATGACCTCAGCTGCACCGATGTCGAACAACAAGTGGGGAGCTCTGAAAGCCACAACTTTAAAGGAATATGAGGCCAAATCCCTTCAAGAGTTGTGTCATGTCAAAATTCCCAATGATGTTTATGTGTCGCAAATGCCAACAGTGACACCTGAAATGGAGAAGAGATGGGCTGATAGCCTGAGTCGTTGTAAGCGGTAGATTTGATTAGGAAAACCAGTCGAGTCTCGTAAACTTGGAGTCGGGATGTTTGTTGCTCCAGGTGTCTCTGCACCTGGAGTTGACACCCGGCTGAGCGAGCTCAGATGGTCGGGATCACCTCACGCACTTCCCTAACTAGGGGATGGTAACTAAATTCAAATAGCTTGATTGAAAGTCACTAAAACCATAAGCACTTACTAGAGGTCTATGCCTCCTGAGGGCCGGAACTCGTCTGTCCGCTCGGCGCCCGCTCTGGTCAGACTCGCGCTGCCCAGGACGTCGCGCCGAGCGGCGATCGGATGTCATCGCGGCTTCCTCTCCAGTGCCCGCGGGATTTCAAACCTCCGCGGTTCCCCGACATCCCCCCGGTTGGAAAGAATATCGTCTCGATGTTAAAACGGCACTGGAGACGAAGTCGCGATGCCTTTGAATTTAATTAGCATTTACTGGGTTTGTATATACTTGTTCCCATTCTTGAGTATTTGGTGTTTGTTGAACTAATTTCGGAGTGGTACTTGCTTTGTGGACTGATTTGACTACAGACGCGTATGAAATGTTTGCTTTTTCATTTCTTTTTTCTTCTAAATAATCATATTTACCTTCATCTACACTTCCCCGAAAAGAGAGATGAATTTTTGGTTTTGTTTTGTTGCCAACACTCATTATTGAATTGTTTCTGTGAACAATGAACTGGCAATCAAATACTGTTGCTGCTGCATGTAAATCTGCGAAGTCACCCATTCTATTTGGCGTGAAAGCAAATTTTTTGAACGCTGTTTTGGATGTGAACACATGACCCGCTTTGTCTACAGCAAACTCTTTATACTCGTCCCAATTTTGAAGAATATGGAAATTTATTTCTTTTCTAATTTCTGGGTAATTGCCTTGAATTCCATAAAGCCCATATGAAATAGCTCTAAACATGCATGACCCGTCGTGAACCATAGGAATTTCGGTGAAAACTTGTAGC